GAAGTTTGGTATAACATTCGTATTGATAACTTGACACTCGCGGCGACCAGGAGCAACACCTAATGAGCTTCGGGGACGTGACAATACTCGTTACACACAATCATCGTCATTGTACACAAGGCAAATACAGCTAGACTTTCCCTCTTGCTCAATTAATAATTAACAAAAAAGTGACATTCCTTCACTACAGGTTGGCCTCCCTGACCTCAGCGTTCCCACTTTCTCCCTTCTCTATGCGCAGTAACCTTTCATTCAATTCCTCTGATGCCCCTATAACGAAAAAAAACCTTATTGACACGTGGTTTAGTCTCATCCTGGGTGTTGGCGTTATCAACGCTAGTTTCAACCAATTTACACACCAGAACAATCTCGCCCACCAGGGGCCAGATTCACGAAAGTACTTACGAACGTGTACATCTTTCCTCAATCTTTGACGGCTTTGGTTACATTTATTAAACAGTTTACAAGCATGAAAACTTCCCAATCAACTGTTGTTATTGTTATAAACAGCCTCCTGGTGCTTCGGAGCTCATTATCTGTTTAATTAATAATTGGAAACAGTCGCCAAAGATTGAGAAAAGATGTACAGGTTCGTAAGTGCTTGCGTAAGTGCTTTCGTGAATCTGGTCCCAGGTTGTGATGGGCGTGATTGTGTTCCCATTAGCTGGAGGGCAGTTGTTTGTGGCTTGTGAAGCCCCTCCAAACGATACTAGACAGAGGATGACCTCCTCTAAGGTTAAGTTCTCTTCTGTCGGGATAAGAGACCTGTTCCGTACACTTTCACTTTCTTTGTTGGGAGTCAAATCAACATTTGTGGACCTATCGTAAAGGTCAGAAAACGTGTTTGTCGCGCCGGTGACCTCGTTGGTGGGACTTCGGGTAATTATTTATTGGGTTATCCTTGAAATAATAATTGTAGGATGGTGTAGGTAAGCGATCCAATTACTGTCCGTGCCTGTAGTTCTAAGTGTCGTCAAAGATACCGTGCTCGTGTTGAAACGTCGCCCCGTCCATAAACAAAGCCTAAACGATGCCATTAAAATGGTATACAATTGATCCAGCCCAAGAAGCACTGTTTATATTATTGAGAAGAGTCCCCCCCCCCACACAAAATATATACCGTGGCCTTGAATGTATATCCAGAGAACTGGATAAGCACTTCCAAAGGATACCTGATCAACCAGGCTGTGACTCATACGTCAGGCTGCGAGCAGCCTCGTCCTCCAACAACCTGGTTGATCAGTGCAGCAACCAGGAGGCCTGGTCGACGACCGGGCCGCGGGGACGCTAAGCCCCGGAAGCACCTCAAGGTAACCTCAAGGTATGGCGGCCGTGTTCAAGACGGTCATACAGACACGGGCTTCTGGTATATGCGGAATTAACCACGTGGAGGTGACTGTAATTCCCAGCGCTGTCGCGTATTAACATCAGTAACAATTTAAAGTTGTATTCTTGCATAATGTGTTGTTACACGAAGACTGAATTACTGTTAGCGTTGTGCTAGTGTGTGTACTCAACTATTTGTACTGGTCTATTTGTGCTTGCGGGGGTTGAGCTCTGGCTCTTTGGCCCAGACTCTCAACTGTCAGTCAGCTGATTTACAGATATCTGAGCCTACTGGGCTCTGTCATATCTACATTTAAAACTGTGTATGGAGTCAGCCTCCACCACATCACTGCCTAATGCATTCCACCCGTTAACTACTGACATTGAAAAAGTTCTTTCTAACGTCCCTGTGGTTCATGTGGGTATTCAGTTTTCACCTGTGTCCCCTTGTTCGTGTACCACCCGTGTTGAATAGTTTATCCTTGTCTATCCTGTCAATTCCCCTGAGAATTTTGTAGGTAGTGATCATGTCTCCCCTTACTCTTCTGTCTTCCAGTGTCGTAAGGTGCATTTCCCGCATGCCTTTCCTCGTAACTCATGCCTCTTAATTCTGGGACTAGTCTAGTGGCATACGTGTGTGTGTGTGTGTGTGTGTGTGTGTGTGTGTGTGTGTGTGAAGTGAGATATTTATATAAGGTGTGTAATAATGTACATAATTTCGCGAAGAATATACGGAAAACAACGGTGTTGAAGCCAGACGTATAAAATTGGGTTTATGTGGACGCTTTTGTCGAATGTCATAGAGCCAAGATGAGGCAGCACTCTCTCTCGTGTATCTGGCCTCACGTCTCCTCCGCTTTCACCTCTTACTACATCTGGTGACTACAGCTCTTTAATAGTTCATTATTTCGTACTTAATTTACAAGTGCTTTAAATTGTGAAAAAAACGCGAAATTTGTAGTGAAGTGTGGATAAGATTGTGGACAGTACAGCGTGTAGACTGTAGAGGCTTCAAGTGCAGCGTGTAGAGGCTTCAAGTGCAGCAGCGTGTAAAGGCTTAGCTCCAAGTGGGATAAGTTGTGTTGTTGACAAGTGTGAGGAAGACTGCAGGACGCTGGGGGACCGGAAGCAGGGGACGGGCGCGCCTGGCGCCATGGGCAACTCCGACAATGAGGTGAGTTTATTATACCTGGCTCCTGTTACTCTTCCCCCCAGACGGGGGAGACATCTCCCGTCACGCAGGGTGCAGTCGCACCTCCACAGAATTACCATTCATGGTAATGGCTCAAAAGGGCCACCACTTACGGGCTGTTCATGCCCGTGCCACCTTTGGGTGGCTTAATCTTCATCAGTCAATCTCCCCCCCCCCCACACACACACACTCTGTTTTGGTCACTACCCCCCCCTCACATCAGTCTTTCCTCTCTGGTCAGCGATCTTTGGTCTGGTCAACCAGGCTGTTGGACGCAGCTGCTCTCACAACCAGACGTATGAATTGCAGCCTGGTTGATCAGGTGTCCACGTAGGCTTTCTGACATCCCGTACTCAAGTGTTCATTCCATCCAGTGACCAACCCCCAAGATGTATTCATCCATTTTACCGTGCTGCTCGTCCAAATTAGGAATTTTCTTTGATATGCATTAACCTTGGATAATTAACCTTAGATATACATATAACTTTAATTATATATTACTATATATGCCTATTTGACCGTAGGTTAGATTAGGCGTTCAGGTTCTATTGGCAATTGTGTGTTTATTATATAGAGTCCGTGGGTGAAGCATTTACCAACCCGTCCTCCATTCAAGTCCATTACATCCAGCGGTCAACCCCACAGACGCATTCATAAATTTTAACGTGCTGTTCATTCAAAACGGGAATTTTCGCAAGTATAAATTGATATTATAATATGTTGGCATATTGTGTATATATAGGCATAGGTTAGGTTAGGTGTTTAGGTTCTGTTGGCGATTATTTGTATTTGTAGTACGTGGGTGAAGCATTTACAGCGTTGTGATTCGAACAAAATTCGTCAGTGAAGCACTTGTTCCGGAAGTGTTCGAACGTCAACAGTTAGTCATGTGTAAGTCATTTTTCATTCATAAACAGGGGGTGTGGCGGGTGCATGGAATCACTTTTAGGTCTTTGGAGGACGGGCTGCATGTACAGAGTTGCGATTCGAACTGAAGTCGACAGTGAAGCACTTTTCGAGAGGTGTTCGCACGTCGTCATTTGTTAGTAGTGTGTAAAGCGTTGGTCATTTATATACAGAAGGTTTGGTGGATGCTTGGAAGAACCATTAGCCCGTTGTTGATGAGGACAGCCCACATCCTGTGGGGCCGGTCGGCCGAGCGGACAGCACGCGGGACTTGTGATCCTGGGTTCGATCCCAGGCGCCGGCGAGAAACAATGGGCAGAGTTTCTTTCACCCTATGCCCCTGTTATCTAGCAGTAAAATAGGTACCTGGGTGTTAGTCAGCTGTCACGGGCTGCTTCCTCGGGGGTGGAGGTCTGGTCGAGGGCCAGGCCGCGGGGACACTAAAAGCCCCGAAATCATCTCAAGATAACCTCAAGATCCTGAACGGTCGCTGTCTTTGACCGTATTTAGTGAGCTCCGAAATGAGGAGGTGAAAGGTGTTAGTACTGTTAGTACTGAAAGGTGTTAGTTACATGCTCGTCGTTAATGAGCATGTAATCATTTGTATGCGTGAGTGGTGGTGGTTGTCTCCACTAGTCGGGTTAATGTTCTGACAGGAGATAACTGACCTTTTACACATATTACTTCCATCATTTACTCCTTAATTACCTCCTTCCTGATCGTGGCGCCGTAATTACACCCACCCACGCACACACGTTTACGTACTGGCTTTGTTTTGCTTTCACGGTCGAGTATCTGCTCGCAAGCCACACTTTCCACTACCATAGTCCAATAATTAATTTTTCGAAAATATTTAGGTATAAAACTGCGTATCGAATTGTCTTCGACAACTGCTGAACCACTTGGACTGGATGGTTGAGCGACGCGCTCGCTTCGTGTAGGTTTGCGATCAATCCCCAACCGTCTAAGTGGTTGGGCGCCATTACTTCCCTCTGTTCAATCCCTTATCCCTCATCTTTATCCATATTCCTTCCAAGTGCTGTATAGTCGTAATGGCTTGGCGATTTCTCCTGACCTTGCCTTATCTGCCTCATTTAGTCTACTCATTTACGACTCTGAAAAAGTTCTCTCTGGCATTGATGTGACTTATTTGCGTGTCCAATTTTATCCCCCCCCCCCTCGTTCTAAGTGCTCCTCATTTTGAACTTTGTTTCTCTACTTACTTAGTCACTTCCTCTTAGTATTTTGTACGCCATTATCATGTCTGCTCTATTCCTTGTTTTCTCCTGTGTTGTGTGAAATCCAATTTCTTTAGTCTTTTTATATAGCTCAGTTCCCTTAACTCAGGAACGAGCCTTGTCTGCGTATCTTTGAACTCTTCATAGTTAGTTTTAGTTTAGTTTAGTTCATTTATTATGCACCCCATACCCATCCCGTGGGCGGTAGTGGAAAGGGTTACAGAGGCACATAATGGGCTCAGGGACTGAACCCCACAATTCATTTAGTTAAGCAAGTTACAATCTTGATGAACTAGTTACAAAATTCAATATAAGTCGTCACATCAACAGTGGGTTCGAGATCGACCACAAGTACAGGTTCTCAAGAGTTTTGCTTTGTTTGGGTAAGGATTCCATGCCGGGGCGGCATACTTACACATGACACATGTGCGCTCGCTCGCGCGCGTGTGGGGGAGTGGAGCTCTTGTGCTTTTTTTTTCTGATGTGCTGCCTTTTGACACCATTGTTCTTTATTGAGGTGATCTGCTGCCTTGTCGCACATGCCAGGCCAAAAGCTGTGATGGGCAGGGGTTTTGGTGTAGTTTGTCTGTATGTCATACGCACGCAAGCAAAGCACGCACGCACGCAAGCAAAGCACGCACACGCACATATACATATACACATACAGTATTCATGATAGGGAAATGGGACAGGAGTCATTGCTGTAAACAACCGATGGCTGGAAAGGCGGGATCCAAGAGTCAATGCTCGACCCTGCAAGCACAAATAGGTGAGTACATACACACACACTCTGGGATTGGAAGAGGTGCATCTCCTGTTAATTCGAGGTTGAAATTCAAGTATAATCGAGCAACAGTGTTAATTTTAATGTTAAAATGGGTACGACCTTGAATCGGGGGTGCTCCTTCGACCACACATGACCTTGATTTTAGGGGGGGAGGAGGGCGCGCGGGTGGGGTGGGCAGGGGTGGGCGGCAGGGTTCCCCCCCCCCCCCGGTGGGCGGGGGTGGGCGGAAGGGTTCCCCCCCCCCCCAGGTGGGCGGGGGTGGGCGGCAGGGTTCCCCCCCCCCCAGGTGGGCGGGGGTGGGGGGGGGGGGATGAGTTAGGGCGGGCAGCAGCCTATTACCACGATCTGACAATCGTTAAATTTGAAAGTGCTTTTTGCCTAACCGGAAGCTTACGAACCTTCTAAGGGGTCCGTTGATCATTAGCATATAAGAAGCGTCAGTATTTGGCGATTTGAATCTCAATTATACACTGGAATTTCGACGCTGTTGGCCTTTAGCGTTAAAAGTGCAGTGCATTAAGTGTGAGGACAGGTTGAGAGAGTGCGTGAAGGAGCAGGGGGAAGTTGGTAGTGTGGACGGGGAGGGAGAGTGGGCGGGGAGGGAGAGTGGGCGGGGAGGGAGAGTGGGCGGGAAGGGAGAATGGGCGGGAAAGGCGGGGTGGGGGGGGGGCGGGGCGGTTCACACCCCAGCCACCCTCAGTATCGAGCTGCCGGCGGGACCCGGAGTGACCCATAAATTCCTGGTGGGTGTACACAATATATTCCAGCACCGGTTGGTGACTGGTTGAGGACTAGGCCACTTGTACGCCACATGATTTGGGGTGTGTTGGCCTTACTGCTGTTACGGCGGGTCGCGGTGTTGGTGGCCCAGGTGTGTGTGGCTGCCAGCACCAGCCACCAGGTGTGTGTGTGGCTGCCAGCACCAGCCACCAGGTGTGTGTGTGTGTGGCTGGCAACACCAGCCACCAGGTGTGTGTGTGTGTGGCTGCCAACACCAGCCACCAGGTGTGTGTGTGTGTGGCTGCCAACACCAGCCACCAGGTGTGTGTGTGTGTGTGGCTGCCAACACCAGCCACCAGGTGTGTGTGGCTGCCAACACCAGCCACCAGGTGTGTGTGGCTGCCAACACCAGCAACGTCAACCCTCCTAACTACCTTGTGCTGGCTCCCAGAATCAATGTACTCGCGGCCCGGTCTCGAGCCATGGCTTCTAGTTGCTGGTCTGGTCAATCAGGCTGTTAGACGCAGATGCTCGCTGCCTGACTATAAATCGCGACCCGGACGATCAAGTATCCTTTAGAGGTGCTTGTAAATAAGTCATACCCCCCTTAGGATTTACAGTGTGTGTGTTGAAACGTCTTGGGCCCTTGTTGATGATACAATTATCTCGGCTAATTGTAAATTTGCTTGCCAACAGAGCTATATTGCACTTGGTGTAAATAGTGTCATGTAGAGCAATGGTCTACGTCCCCTGCGCACAACCGAGTTCGATCTCCGGACGGGACAGCCAACTGTTGTGGGTTGGCACCCAAACGGAGTGTCATCATAGATTGGCCTAACAGGCTTCCTGTCTCCGACCATGGCACAAATGTATAGAACGTAACATGTTTAGCGCCCACTGTATTGGTGAACGAGACGCCAACAAGGCTGTATTTTTGTGTGCGTGTGCGTGTGCGTGTGCGTGTGCGTGTGCGTGTGCGTGTGCGTGTGCGTGTGCGTGTGTGTGTGTGTGTGTGTGTGTGTGTGTGTGTGTGTGTGTGTGTGTGTGTGTGTGTGTGTGTGTGTGTGTGTGTGTGTGTGTGTGTGTGTGTGCAGCCTGTGCAGGTGTGTGCCTGGGGGTTGTGTTGGGTCACGAGGCGGGAGCAAGCCAGGACCTGCACGTAGTTGATAGTGAAGCTCCCCAGTGGGTTAACCACTACCGAGACCTGCGGATTGATGACGGCTCTTGGAACAGTTCCCTCTGAAACCTAAGAAAAATGTCCCCCCTCGACGTCGTTACAATTCTTTCAACACGCCCAACCGAAACCATCCCGTCCCATCCCATGCTGGGTG